AAAAATAAATAATTTTAATTACTATTTTTTTTAATAATTATTTATTACTATATTATTATTATTATTATTAATTTAATATAACAAAAGAGAGCTAGGAGCCAAAAATTATATTATTTCATTAATAATTATAACAAAAGATATATTGAATATAAATTTGACAAATCATTCAACGTAAATAATAAATAAGAATATAAAAATATATAAGAAAATATATAATATACAGACGTTTCAATCTCGATTTATTATTATTTTAGTAATTATTATTAAAAGTTTAGCAATGCTCCTAGAATAGAAATGCACAAAAATTGTTCCTTTTATAACCATAACTTCTTCTTTGTCGCATGTGTACTGCCGATAGATTCACTCCTTCTTTTTTACTTTCACTATGTCGCTTAGATGACACAACAAAAAAAAACATTTTATTCGTGGAAAAGAAATGTAAACCGACTATATACAGAATATCGTCGTTCAATTCGTAATTGATCGCGAGCATCTATGTCTATATGCTGACACAACAGTACATTGAAAATTGTGCGCATTACCCGCGGGCGTTCGAAAGATGCGGTAGAGAGACACAAATTTGTATCATATACTTATCTTACCACCCTAAAGGTTGGTCAGCACGGAAGGACTAGATGCATATAGACGTAGTAATTTGCTTCGGGGCAAAAGTAAGTCATCGACCCGAGCAATATCACGCAGGACTACAATTTTTCTTTTTGAGGTCGAAATCAACTAATACATCGCTGAACATGAAAACAAATTGGAATAGTGGTATAGATTATGGTTTTTCTATGATAAAATCGATGATGTGGATACTTGGTTTATGGCCTTTGCAGCAGAATAATGTAGTTTACACGATTCAGTGGTTCATAATATTTATAACAGGGGTAAAATAACGTAACATAATGTAAAATAACATATAATGTAGAAATTAGCTATTTGTAATGGTAAGAAAAAAAAATATGCAATTTAATATAAAAATTAAGGTAAACAATTGCACTGCATTTACTTAAATCTTTTTCAGTCAAGTTGAAAATTATAAGAATTTTAATTTTAAATTGTTCAATAATTAAGTCTATTATCTGTATATGATTAGAATAAATTCTATAATACGTGTAATGACATGCATATATAAAAAAATATATAAAATATAATACATTGAAAGATACATATTATACACAATGATTTATTGTAATTAATCATAATTTAAACATAAAGAACAATTGGTGATTAAAATTTTATAAACAGTTTAAACATCGTTTCTCGATATTTATTATTTTTGATGTAGTGCAACTTCACATGAGAATGCAATTTTATATTTGCTACCATGCAGTCTCTCACAATGATCAACGTGCTGATAGAATCTTTCAAGAGCTGTGATGCTGTTAGAGATGGTTTAGACATTCTTCGTCTAATAGAAAGCTGTATGCATGCATGGTCGAACATTGTTTTTCCACGAATTTATATGAAAAAGATTGCCATTAATCTCAATTCTGCAATCGACGACTGGTCGTCTCCGTTTATGAAAAAAGAGTCGCGCATAGTGATGATGGGATATGCACGTGCAGGACGTCTAATCGCCCTGACTCACTTAATCGCTGGAACAACAGCAGGCGCCTTATGGTTCATATCCGTCTTCCTCAGCAATAAACAAAAGGTTGTATTAAATCTTCATAAGATTATTGTTGAATAAAATTGAAACTTATTTTGTCAATAAAGGAAATGTTTTATTTTCTAAAAATTAATACCTGTATTCTACAGGCTGCAATTACAGATAATGATACTGTAGCTACGTGGAATTTTGTCATTCCATCAACGTGTCTGTACAAAGGGGTTTCGTATTCTACGTACAAAATATTGTTTATGATGCAAGTAATACAAGGATCTTTGATATTGATATCAGAATGTGCTTGCGATAGTTTTTTTTTCGGCATCACTATGCATCTTTGCGGTCAACTAGAACTTTTGGGGATACAATTTACGGAGATTAACAAGAAACATTACGACGAAAAACGTCATAGAAATGTTTTAGGACCATTGGTCAAAAGACATTGCCAGTTGATAGCACTGACCAAGAATATTGAAGACGCTTTTAATATCAACATTTTATTACGACTTTTAATAATTAGCGTAGTAATTGCATCCTCAGGTATGTACCTAAATCAATTTTTTTGATTTTATATTGATCCATGTTGAATGATATATTACAAAAGCATAAAATTATATCTTAAAACTTGCCAGTAAAAACTATAAAAATTGCAAAAACAGTTTCGCAATACATTTATGTAATTAGAATTATTGAATTACTTTTTAAAAAATAAAAATTCATAATAAGAAAGATTAAAGTATCAATATAAAAAAATAATAAAATATTAATAAAAATTATAAAACTTATTATAAAATACTTTAATGTATAAAATACATCTAAAAATCTAAATTAACATAATACATTCATAATTCGAAGAGTTGCGTGTTTTCAGGAGTAGGGATTCTTTTATCAATCAAGCAACAAGATTACAAGGAAATGATAAAAATGTTCATGTCCATTCAATTTTATATGGTACAAACCTTTTTGTATACGTATGCCGGCGATACTTTGAAGAATCGAAGCGAGTCAATTGTCTATGCCATATACAGCACCGCATGGGATGAAATGTCACCTATCATGGTGAAAGATCTGATATTCATTATGATGAGAATGAAGACTCCTCTTCGAATTAGTGCCGGAAAATTTTTCTATCTTACACGAAACACTATGACAGATATCTTGAAAACCACCTTAACATACATATCATTTTTACAGGTGACAATTAATGAATCAGAAAATCCTCAATAATTCCTGTGGTATAAAAAGCGATATATGTTAATAAGTAAAATAAAAAATATATAGTATATTATATTTCAGTACCTTACTGTCTATTACTTTCAATTGCTCTTAACCAAGAGATATATTTGTTACGTATATACATTTATATGTACTTGTTATTTTCTTTATTTTTTTACCAATCTATGTATAATATATTTTTTTAAACTTATATATAATCTTCCTATAAATGTGACAAAAAATATAGTCTTATGATGTGAGGACAACATTTTATCAAATTAAAAATTATATTTTGCGAAAAATCTCAACCTGAACAAATGAAAAAAAATTTTTTAATCCTTATTTCTTATCTGTTTTACACGAATTGATAAATACTTAAAATAAATACTTAATATAAATAATGTTGAATGTTAATATAAATAATAAATACTTGTTAGATATTAAAACACACCTTTAACAAAATATGCACGCAAAAGAAATTTTAATTATTTAGCGATGATTCATGAACTGATAAAATGAATTAAAAACCGTGCCATACTCTTTATACTTTTCTTTAAAAAAATGTAATGCAGGAGAAATTACATTATAATATTAACACATGACAGTCGCATCGAAGACGATGTATCGAAATAAAAATAAAACTTTCTCTTTTCTTTCCATTTCCTTTTTGTTTTTTTACCCTTTTGTATTTTCATAAAAATAAGTTTACATCACAATTGTTCTGAACAACTGTACTTCGGAAAATAACAGAGCATATGAGTAGTATTCAAATGGTGCCTACACTTCAATAAAATATGAATGCGAATTTTATCGCATTATGGACGAAGACTGACATTCGTGAATACAGTGCATCTCTCCTTGATTGCCATAATGTCATCGAATGACGATATAGCGTACGCTATGACCCTCGTCAAACACCTAACTGTACCCATAGGTGCTTGGCCCTTACAAGAATACAACAAGTTCGCTTTATTGCGTCATATCTTGTCTAGTTTTGGGTTGGTATGTTTCCAATTTTCATGTTGTGAAATTTTTCTTCTCCTTGTGCCTTCGATGTGTGAATATTTATTATGGAATATCGATATTTTATTTTGCTCACACAGTCGAATCTCAATAAAAACAGATTTTTATTTTATGTGCAGAGTGTGGTGGTAATCGTACAGTATCTCGAACTCTATTATAATTGCACAAACGCAACTGCAAATCTTGACGCCCTCACGCTCTTTTCCTGCGGTATTCTTGCTTTAACAAAAATAATATGGTTTCGTATATATGCTGATAATCTGATTTGTAATTATTCTTCTGCTATGAACGATTATGTTACAATCGACACCGAGGAGAAACGCATCATTATGCGAAATCATGCTTTCTGGGGAAGGATAATCTGCATTATCGCTTTATTGATCTCTTATGTTGATTCAGTAATCTTCATTGTGGGACACGCACAACTAAGCAGTGAGGAAACCAAAATTAATATAACTATTTTTGGTCATCAAGCAGGATATGCTATTCCGTCAACATGTACCTTGGCACATTTTCACATTTCAACTGATTTATATTTGGTGATTTTTATACTGCAGTACATCTATTTAGTAATCATGTGCATTAGTAATCATGGTAGGTCATTGCCTATTTACGTAGTTATTTTTGCAAAATGTTAATTTATATTTTAACGGTTACGGCCTTACTGATTTCTCTTTTGCATTCAAAATATAATTCCATAGACAAAGTTTATTAATATTTATTAAACATTTCGAATGCATTTAAAATTATATACATGTATAGTAAGTTCGTTCTTTTTGGACCCTCAGAATTTTCAAAAAATAACTTTTTTTTGTATTTTATTATCATTAAGAATATAAAAAATAATTATTAGATAAGAAAAAAACTTGATCTATAAAGCCATTATTAGTTTAGGTATACTATATTACTATATTAGGTATACTATATTATGATACCTAGCCCTAACTGTTGAATTCTGAGCAATCACTATCAGAAAAAGTTTAAAAGTCATGATCGTAATATTTAATATCCAAAAATTTAAAAATAAAATATTCAATCAAAAAACAAAATAAAAAACATAATCAAATAAAAAACTCAAAGTATTAAAAGCTTTACAATGATTACAATCTTGACGCGGTGTATAGAGGTTTAAATCTGTAAACAATTAGTATTAATTATCTATTTAGTTACTTGTATATCAAGAGTAACAAAAAATTTATTTTTTTATTATAAATTGTATTTATCTTTACACATCTGGAGATATATGTTATATTTATATCTAAATAATATTAATTTTATGATGGCAGAGAAGTACAATAAGCAACAATATTTTATTAATTATGGCTAGATGCACTATAGTGATATTCTGAATTATTAAAATTATGGCTTTATGGATCGAGTTTTTTCTGTCGTATAATTAATTTTTACATTCCTGACTATATAATAAAATCATTTTTAATCATCTAACTTTGTTCATTTGTTAAATATTATATATATGAAATAAATTTCTACGTCCATTTTAATAAAATACTGAATTTTGCAAATATTAAATATAGTTTTTATAAATACTCCTAAAATTTTAATATACTTATTATAATTAATAGTTGTACATTCTTACGACATATTCTTAATTATAATGTTTTACAGGTAGTGATTCTGTATTTCTTCATATTGTATTACACGTGTGCGGTCAACTGGAAATTTTAAAAGCAAATTTTATTAACTTTGACATAACAAGTCCGAAAGTCTATGAACGTTTTAACACATTGATTTTGAGACACGATCATTTGATAAGAATGACTAGAAAGCTTGCTGAGATAATTAGATTCGTTTTGATGGTACAACTCTTCATCAGCAGTATGCTTATAATTATAGTAGGTAAATATGCATCAATTTGATATGCTCATGAATTAATAAAAAAAAATATGAAATGTCATAAAATTTACATTAATTACGTGTATTTTTGTAGGATTCCAATTTATCATTGCCTTAACAACCAACGACTATGGTATGATGTCAAAAAGTTTCTTGGTACTTAGCGCATTTCTGATACAATTAACGTTATATAGTATTGTCGGAGATTATTTAAAGACGCAGATGGAAGAAGTCGCGCAATCTGTTTATCACAGCTTTTGGTATGATCTTCCTATAAAAGTAACAAAAAACATAGTATTTATCATGATGTGGACTCAGTTTCCGATTAAGCTGCAAGCTGGGTACTTCGTTGTAGTAGATTTGGGAACTTACATGAGCATTTTAAAAACGTCTATTTCATATTTATCTGTTTTACGCGTAATGATAGAAGCGTAAGGCATCAGAAGCATATAATAAACAATTTTTCACTGAAAAATATCTATAGAAATAATAATATACATAGAGAGAGTATGATTTTAATAAAATTGTTTTAATTATAATACATTTATCTATTCAAACGAAACATCGTATAACAGCAAAAATGTATTTGCATGTATATGAAATTTCAGTATTGCTAACAATATTACTTATGTTGTCTAATTGTAAGTGTACGTTCGGGGAGCTTATTACCAGTACTATGCAGCGCTACCACTGCTCGGAGAGTTAACTACAGCATAGCACTCTGAAACATTATTGTAACGACACTATTGATAGCGATGATATTTGATGTCATGACTTCGCGCTACAAATGCTATCACTAAAGAGATAGTGCATTGATAGCACGTTCGTGTGCTCTATGAACAGCGATAGTGTAGTGAATACTGAAATACCTTCATACATGGGACCATTATGGCTCCACAGGAGACCATTACGGTCTGACACAAGATCATTACGGCCCCACATGGGATTATTACATCCCTATATGAGATCCATCACAATTCCATATAGGACCATTATGATCCTACATGGGACCATTATGGTCTTATATAGAATACCTATAGAATTTGCGGCAGAGAAATGAACAGCGATAGTATAGAATACTGAAATGAACATTTTTGGCTGAAATTAATAATCGCAATAGTATTCATTACATTTAGCTTTTAAAATGAATTACGTGATGAAGAGTTACAGGAAAGTTATATTAAAATTGAGTCCAACGGATGTCATTAAAGCAAAAAATGATAAAGTTATGGTTGTCTAATATTTTGTAATTATACAGTTTAGTTCAAAAATCAATAAAATTAGGCTAGTTCAACGCGTTTTTGCATAAAACGAAAGAATCTAGCAGAATCTAAAAAATCTTGCTCTTGCTCCATTTTGCCATATGCGGTATGATTAGGACACTACACTATTACTGTTCACAGAATGCTTGTATTCGCTAGCGCTATCTTGGCTCCATGAACAGAGATAGTAGCGTTAACATTGGTAGCGAACTTTCCGAACGCATTCTAAGAAACTATTGCACTATTCCAAATTATAGTATTGCGTGCAACTCTCGAAATATCTTTAGTTTTTAGATTATTACCAATCGTGTCGGTCATTATAAGGCCATTATTATACATATATTTGTATGTATTTTACCTTTGATAAAAAAAAATGGTATTGATAAAAGATATAGAGAAAAGAGATTGCAACATGAGAAACGATGCACTGGAAAGAACATGAAACACCCCTCGGGAAAAAAATGTTTTATATATAATTATATAAAATTATATATAATTATATATAATTACTTATAATTATATATAAAATATATCCATATATACAGGGTTTGGAAAATCGCCTGCAATACTTTAGGAAGTTATTCGAGACCCAAAAAGAAGAAAAAAGCTATAAACATAGGTCCGGAAATAAGTCGTTTCCAAGTTACAACTATTTTTATGTTAAAACAAATTTTATTATAATTTATTTTTCATAATTAATCATAATTTCATTTCATAGTATTTTAATATAAATAACTTCATTTCGAACTATTTTAGTGTTACCCAGGATGCACTACATAGTCCGCTTCCCTCTAATAAGGTAAAAACAATTTTTAAATAAAAAAATAAAAAAAGAGGAATCAAGTGGGTTATACCTCCACGTAGTGCATCTTGGATCACGCCCAAATAATCCGAAATTATTATTTAATATTAAAACACTAAAATGAATTATGATTGTGATTATGAAAAATAAATTATCATTTTTTTTAACATAAATGTGATTATAACTCGAAAACGACTTATTTCCGGATCTATATTTATATCTTTTTTTCCTTCTTACCCGGTATCCTACGAGTATAAAACATTTTTTCCCGGGCCTCTCCTTCAATTTGAGCTTTTTTTTCTCCTCCCCCTCGTAAAAAAAACTTTTAAGCAAAATATTAATATTTATAATATGTTAAATTAACACAAAATCTGATAAATGTGCAGTTTAGGTTACATTTTATTGTCCTTTAAATATGTTGTAAGGTATTCTTTTAAGTTGAAATAATTACAAAATTATATAGATATTGCAATATAAATATTGTTTTATATAATCAATTTATTATCATAGTTTTCATTTAAAGATATCTAGAATAATAATAATAATATATATACATCTAACAGAATCCTTAAAATCACAAAACATTCATTTATTCAATCAAATTAAAGATATTAATAACAAAATATGAAATATTTTCAAATACCTTTAGTAAAACTAACAACATTGCTCGTGTTGGTAAGAAACAAACACATTAAATTCTAAACTAATCATACGTCTTTTGACAAAAAGATGATATCCGAATAAAATGTATTGTAACACGACCAATGATGATGCATTGGAAAAAAAATGAAATATCCTCCTTCCTCGATTTGATCGTAGCCCCCTCTACTTCTATATAGAAAACTTTTCTTCAAGTATTCAAGTATTCAAAATAACTGTGTTTTGGAAAATAACTTCAGTAAATATTAAAATTGCACCGGAGATAAAATATGAATATGAAAGAGAATATCGTTGATGATTGATTCGTATTATGCATAAAGACCGATATTACTGTGCAACGTGCAGCTCTACTTACTTAACTACAATAATGTCATGGAAAGACGATATAACATACGCTATGACTCCCAGCAAATTCTTAACTTGGCCACTAGGCGTTTGGCCTTTGCAAAAATATAACATATTTGCTTTAATCCGTACTGTCGTGTGTGTCGTCAGTTTGGTACGTTCTTCGTAACTTGTACTTTCGACCTATCGAGTTTGACAATTCCAGTTTGGTGCACAATGTAACATTTAGTACACAGTGAGAACGAGAAACAGAAATAAAGCTCTAATGTGGTAATAAACAATCCATCCTTTCTGTTTGTATAGATCGTGATGATGATTTTATTGTTCCTCGAAATCAATTTCGGTAACGGCAGTATATATGAAAAACTCGATTCTCTTATGCTTATGTTTTGCAATATTCTCTCTATATTAAAATTGTTGTCCTTTCGTATATACGCCGATAATTTAATTCGCAATTTCTTTTCTGCTGTCAACGACTATATTGCGATCGATACTGAAAATAAGCGCACGATTATGCGGCGGCACGCATTCATGGGAAGGATGATTTGCTACAGTATTTCATTTTTTGGTTATATGGCACCAATTTTGTTTCTGATACCTGTAATAGTTAGTTCAATGTTAGGCAATGATGAGGACATCCAAGTTAACATATCCGTCAAAAATCTAGCAATGGAGTTACCTGTGCCCTTACCATGGACATTAGGAAATTATCATCTCTCTACAAATGTATACTATGTAATTTTCATAGTGCAATATATTCTATTGACACTAAATTGCTCTGGCAATGTTGGTAATTAACTGTTTATTAATATCTAAGAGACTTGCTTATTATTAGTTACTTTAAACTTTTTTACATTTAATAGAATTTATGGGGGTGTAACCACTCTTGAATTTCGGTGTAATCTATCAGAAGTTCGTTGAATTCCTCGAAGTCCGATGAAGTCCGATGAAGTCCCTTAAAGTCTGAAGTCCATTTGTACATCTATTTTTTGAATGGTTGCCCCCTCAAAAATTTAGTAATAGTAATTTTTAATTTTTATATTTAGATTTTTAGTTTATTTTAGTTTTGTTAACAAAACTAATTAACAAAACTAAAATATTTGATACCTAATTATATAAAACATTTACTTTCATTGATATTAAATATCAAAAAATTTTTTATTTTTCAATAGAAGTTCTTTTTTTTTAATGCATATTGTATGTCTACCTTACAATTCCAATGCAATAACATTTTGTTTTTTTATATCAGGTTTTTTTTTAACTCAAGTTCTAACTGATAATGTTTTTTGTTAAAACTTTCATGTTTTTAATATATTTTAATTTATAATTATAATTTATTTATAAAGGCAATGATATACTTCTCCTTGGAATTATTCTTCATATTTGCGGGCAAATGGAACTTTTAAAAATCGAATTTATCAATTATAACGGAAAAAATAAAGACATAAAAGAGTTTGAAGCATTGACATCTAGACATTGTTATTTAATGGAGCATGCGGAACTTCTAATAGATGTAATAAGCTTCGTTTTGCTCGTGCAATTGCTGTTCAGTTGTCTTATTATTTG